GCACATATGCCCAGGCTGCCTCTCTAGAACTTGGCTTCTTCCGAACTTGGCATTTGGTTTTCGCTGCAGCAGAAGCAGCTGAAGAGACAGAGGCAACGGGAGGTGATGGTGTGCCCTGCAAACTCAGCCTTTGGCAGAGATTGTGTTGTAGGGATTTGGAATTTGGATATTCCCCTTTTAATGCAGAGAAACGCATGGAGAGATTAGCCAAGTCTCAGAACGTCTCATGTAAAAGGAAAAATGGTCATTCTGAGTGCTTCTTGATTAAAGATAGGAGAATATCTTTTTATTTAAAGTCCCAGGCTATGTTCTTTTATATGTAAAGTGTGCAATTGCATCTCTACACATCTATCTTCTGGGAGCAGAAAAGAGGGGAGAGGAAAGGTAGTTAACAAGGAAAGTAAGAGAAAGGAATTGGGGTCTCAAAGACTGAGGCATGAGGAAAAACTCTTACATTTAGTGGCAAATACAGAAACCAAAATTCTATTGCTTAACGTAAACCAAATCTTAACTTTTGTCCCTTTCCTCTCCAGGAAGTGAACTGACCCTGCTGCAGTTTTTGGGAGCATGCACATATATTGGCTTGATGCATGCATACACACAAAGGCCAAGTATTGCAGCAGGCATGCTTTGTTTACCAGGGAGGAACAGGTCAAAAGTTAAGATTGGCTGATGCTAAGCAACAGGATTTTGACCATGCTCCTCACACACACTCAGAGTAATCATGCAAGATTTTGCCTGTAATCATGCAAGATTTTACCTGTAATCATGTAAGATTTTGCCTGTAATCATGCAAGATTATTATTTTTTCAACAGCTAGCAGTAGTAATGTGATTATACCTGTGGCTTTAACGCTTTCCACATTCAGGAAAACATTCTCCCCATGCCTCTTCTGTCACCTTGTCAGTCTAAATGGACAAGCTAGAGAGTATTCTGGTAGATTTCTTGCTATATTTTTTCCTGTGAAGCGGAAGACTGAACAGAAAAGGCACCCCAGAATTCTCCATAATATTGATAGGTGGAAATTTAGGGGAGAGGAGATATCATAAAATATCTTCCTGAAACTTTCTATTAAGATCCTTTTCTGCATGCAAATGTTGAACTATGGTGTTCTTCCAGTGTGGAGCCAGAACATGCATTTTTTTGCATTTGGATATGTCCTGGAAGAGGAAATGTAACTTCCTTCTCTTGGCATCTTTATAATGAATGTCAGAAGTTGCCCTAATATATCTGATGGACTCTTGGTCATCATTAGATTTTGGACATGCCTGTAGTAATGAAACTAGTGATGACAAGCAAAGCTTGTGAGACATGGAAAATATACACACACTCTTTGGGATGAATTCTCTTATAGAGTGGGATGGTGGTGAGGGGGCAGAACAGATTGCCTGAATCTACTCTTACACAATAGATGATAACAGTTGAGCAGAGCCAGCAAGTTATCAATAGTATCTTGTGCCAGTGAGTGACATGTAACAGGCTCCGTTTTATTTTAGCTTCAGAAAGAAAGAGGAACTCTTGCCACCAGATAATCTTACATGCTGCATTAAATTTTAAGCACTGTTCTCACAGAAGTCGCAGAGAATGCAAAAATGATATGTCTGTTTCACACACATTGTGTTGATCTTTGAAAAGTTTTATGTGTGTTGTGTGAAAGAGGTGGGAAATGGAGTTGTCCTGGCCGCATCTAAGCAGCCTAATTTTAATTTTGATACCTCACTTTTCCTCCTCTTATGGTGAGGTTCTTAAGAATAGGAAACCTGACTAAGCAGCACAGTTTTATCTATATTTCAGTTGGGTCCAAACAAGGAATATCCTGACATTGGTGAGAGTAGTTCCACTTTGCAAAAGTGTGACTGAAAAGCCATAATATTCGTTGAACCAGTGGCTCAGTGTAGCAACATGTGTGTCAATCTTAATAAACCCCAAAGAGCAACAGTTTAAAATTGGGATCTCAGCCAAGTTCTCGGTAATAAAACAGGATGAATGCCACTCAAAGAGAAACCCATGGGTGGCTTTCTGCCTCAGACGTTAGTGCACAGTCAGTCACCCATGAATGTCATCAGGAAGTGCTTCAGTGTGAATTGCACATGAGAGAGTAAGACAGTAAGAAGAAAACTCAGCATTGCTTTGCATCTTCAAAGAGCGGTTTGGCTTCATTAACTCCAGTGGTAAAGTACTTCATGTCTGCATTATTCACAAAGCCACTTTGTAGAGTAGTAAATTACTGTTGTTCTTCCCTGCTTTGACTTCAGGCAAAGTAGGGGCTTTGAATATGAGGATGTGGATCTTGGGGGAGGGGGCACCTCTCCCTACTTTAGAGACCAAACAGAGCTATATAGACTAGGAACATCCTCATTCCACAGCCTGTTAATAAACAGAAGTTTAACCTCATGTCACCACTGGGTAAGCATGAATCCTAGAGTTCATCCAATAATAGAACAGACTCCTGGTTTCTAAGCATGTCATACTCACCGAGGATCGTTACCCCACTGTCTTTCATCCAGCTGCACAGTTCCATGAAGGAGCAGTTACAGAACCAGGGATTCCCACTTAGGCCCAGGCTTCTCAGGTTAGGCAGGTCCTTCATGGTGGTTGTGTCAATGAATGTCAAGCTGCAGCGACTCACATCAAGGTGCCTCAGCCAGGTGTTGTTAGCAAAAGAGTCCTTCTCGATCTCCACCAGGCCAGGGTTGTCTGAGAGTTTTAGTACAACCAAGCTGCTGAGCTGTGAAAAGGTGCCAAAGGTCACCAGGGTGAGGTTGTTGAAACTGAGGTCCAGGTAAACAAGCTTAACAATGCTAACAAAAGCAAAATCCAGATCCTCACCTAAAGAGTTGCCACTGCAGTCGAGGTAGATTAAGTCACTGAGGAAGTTCAACTCTATCGAAGGCAAATAGCTGAGTTTGTTTTGAGCCAGTATCAGCTGCCTGGTGTCCAGCGGTACGGTGGCTGGGAATTCCTCCAGCTGCTTCCCTGTGCAATTCACAGCCAGATACTGGCAAGTGCATTCCTTTGGGCAGCTCATGCTTTCAGCTGCCCAACTCATTCCAAGGAGAAGCATCATCCACACAGACATGCCACTACTTGAGAGGGACACGATGTGGCATCGCAAGCAGCACCCTTTTTTGCTTGTGCTCTGATGGCCTCTGAGCAACTCTGAGAGAAGAACCATTTCTTCTCTATACTAAACCTGAGGCTGACTCGGGCTCCTGTCTTTCCACGTCAAGATCTCTGGCAAACTGCCAGTTTAAGCACCTGAGGCACGGAGCTCATTTTCTTGAAACTGCCAACTCGCTGCCTGCAGTAAAGCACATCTCCCATGTCTGTTGGCTGCCAGGGGACACCTTTCTGTCATCCCCAGGTAAGTTCATAGGCAGGTAGGTCTGTGGCACACTGTTTACGCTTCAGGGCGCGTGTTTGTGTTCTGTACATGGCGGGGATGCAGGGGGCCTCTGTGCCAACCAACTGTTTCGTTTCCAGAGAAATTTCAGGCAGTCTAAGATTGACCAGACATGTTCCCTGTGACAAGTCAACTCACATTTCCTTGTGTCACACCACTGCTTTTAAAAATAACATTAGGGAGAAGGCTTAGTTAGAAATCCTCCCGCAAAATCTATTTTTCTGGATGCTGAGGGCCCACCTATTTGTATTGAGGGCTGTTAAACCTGGAGTGGGGTACCCAAATGGATGTTTGGTGTGGCCTAGAAATCCCTAAAAGATTTGTTGCATTAAAACAGTAGATATTGGATTAATAATAATAATAATAATAATAAGAATAAGAATAAGAATAAGAATAAGAATAAGAAGAAGAAGAAGAAGAAGAAGAAGAAGAAGAAGAAGAAGATGATGATGATGATGATGATGATGATGATGATGATGATGATGCCGTATTTCTCCCAACAAGGGACCCATTGGAGTTATATCCCAAATATATGTTGTTGGTTGTGTCAGGAATAAGGGCACAATAGCAATGCATGAAACTGGGCAGCTAGTAGATTCAGCATAGTTAGGGAGTAGAGATTACAAGCTTAGAAGAAGTATTTACTTGACGTGTCATAACAGTTCCAGACATAAGTATATGAACATGAAGGCTCAGCAGAGCACGCATGAGAGCCAGGAGGCCAAATACGTACCTTGATGTTGGGCATAATTTGGATAAAACTATGTCCGTCTTCCTTAGATGTTAGATTATGATTGGTCTTAGGTATGGTGAATGTGTTGTTGAAATTTGACAGTTCTTTCTGGTGTGTTGCAAGTGTTGGTATTATTGAGGTCCTAATGAACTGGATTCTGGAAAATCAGAGGGAGAACAACCCAGTGTCTGGGTTGAATATGTAAGATCAAAACATACCATCTGTCAGCATTGATTGGCAAGGTAGGAAGAGATTGCTTTAAAGTGTTTCTCCCCTGCTTGCTGGCAGAATATGCCACAAACCCTAGTTAGAATAGATAGATAGATAGATAGATAGATAGATAGATAGATAGATAGATAGATAGATAGATAGATAGATAGATAGAGAGAGAGAGAGAGAGAGAGAGGAGAGAGAGAGAGAGGACAAAAAAACCCAAGAAAGAACGATTATGCACCTAATTGAGTGGGTTCTGGGAAATACAGTGTGCATAAATATCCAGGGTTTGCTAATTTGTGGTCTGGTGTGTTGAAGCACATTTGAGGGTTGGTAGTGTTGGCACTGACATGATTTCCAGCCAGGCTACGTGAAGGGCTGCATTCTTCCTTACTTGCTCTCTCAGTTTTAAGGTCTTTGAGGGAGATGCTTTTCCTGATCTCATTACCCTCTTAGGCTTCCTTGGAAATGCAAAAGAGAATGTGTGTGTGTGTGTGTGTGTGTGTGTGTGAGAGAGAGAGAGAGAGAGAGAGAGAGGCACTTCACACATTTTCCTCCGTATGATATAGATTATTGACCACAACACTGTAGAGATGAGAAAGAGAAGCATGAGATTCATCATATCACCATCACCATTCACCACATCTTTACAGGGTGGCACCACTTCTTTTATCTCATCATCATCATCAATGATCAAATCATTGTGTAATTTTTCAGGTGCAAGAGAAAATTCCGGGGTGGCCTTAGAAATGGGTGAGGAGGAATGGAGTTTGATTGGCTGGAATCATGCACAGCCCTCTCATTCCTTTCTCTCCCTTCAGGTTTGGCTGGCTTCCCTCCAAGTGGGCTGCCCACTGCATCAGCCAGCCAGACTCTGGTCTCTTCCCAGGTGATTCTCTTTCACCAGCACAGAGCCACCTTCAAAAACACAAGGGGACTTCATACCTGACCTCATCATACAAACATCATGCAGAGACATTTGCTTATCACCATTCTAGTCTCTTAGCCTTGGCATCAGGAAGGCAAGCATTCCTGCCCTACCACTCTGAGTCCTCATCCCAAATGTTTTCTGTGCTCCTCCTCTAACATATTCAAAACCACACTCACAGTTTTATCTTGCCAATGCCACTGCCATGCTTTCATCTGCTAGCAAATCTCCTATCAGTAGCAGGTGCTGGGCGCAGGCTTAGCGGCTTGCTCTTTGGTCCTAGTGCCCTTTGTTATTCTTTCACTGCCTCCTTTAGCTCTCTTCAGGCAGGGTGGGTTGGTGGGAACTGAACAATTAACTTTTTTTTCCTATTTAAAGGCAGAGAAATAACTTTTTTTCCTGCCTAGTCTACCTCAATAGGGAAAGGGAGGAAGCAGTGGTGAGATATGTATCGGCAAAGAGGTGAGATAGATTGTGAAACTTCAGTTACAACAGGAGCTTTCCTTTCAATTTGGTGTTTTAAGGCTAGGGCTTTACCATTCTTTCTTGATGCCCCCCCCCCCCC